TGTTTTATTTGAATCCAAATATTCCTATATATTAATTATTGAGACTCTTAGATTTTTCCATTGTTCAAATGCTTATTTGAATTTTGACCTTAATTCTATAAAGCTTCACTTGTTACATGTCTCATTGTGTTTTAACTTGATTTCATGTTATCTAAATAACATGTTTAAGCAAATATGTTCTGTTTAGCAGACTTGTGTATTTGTAGGTGTATGTATGTATGATGTCTTTGATTATTAAAAATGGGGAAGTAATTATTTTTATATTTAGTAGATACAATCTTTAAAACAGTGTACATTTCTTTTTGGCTTTGTAGTCCTTTTATATCATTTAAAAAATTATTGGGAATTCCAAAGAACTCTTGTTTAAGTAATAGTGCATATGTTGGTATTTACAATATTAGAAACATTTAAAATACAGGTCATACACAGTCTAAATCATATCTCTGTTAGCCATTAGGCCTGGACCCACAGTTTGATCACTAGTCAATATATCATATTTTGAAGACCCATTGCACTTAATATGAAAAATGGAATGAAAATGTCAAATAATATTTAGTATAGGGAAAATAGTTTTGACCCTTGGACGCCTGAATGGATGGATCTGGGACCCTAGGATTTTCAGATGACATTGGAGAACTGTTTAAACCATATGTACAGGTTCATGTGATGTGAAATGATAAAGGGCTTTTGTGATGAAATGGGACATTTAAGTTCCACCTGCATTTTTTTTCTTCATTTGTCTTAAGAGGTTTAAATCAGACTAATCTTGCTTTTTTATTAAAAAATATATACTTTTTGTTTATTCATTTTCTCGTCTTATGGTATTTTTTTGATCTAGTGTAGACCAGATTATCCTGTTTTACATGGCAACAATTATGTCACTCAAGGCTTTGTTTCCATATAAATTTAATGTTTGAGTGGTTTAAAAATTGAATTTGATGATATACATTGAAAAGACCATTTCATTGTATATAAAGTAGTGCCATTCATTAAAAAGTTTTTCAAAACCATGTCTTGGCGGGCTGGGTGTGGCTCAGCTGCTGTGCTAGGCCCTACTGCTCAGGTCCATCTCAGCCCGCGGAGTTTGGCTCTTCAGGCCAGTGCCTCTGGGCTGATGGGCTCAGAGCCTGAGCCATGCTCCGACCCTGTGTCTCCTCTCTTCCTCCCCTGTTCATGCTCTGTCTCTGTCTCAAAATAAATAAACGCTAAAAAAAAAAAAAATTAAAAACCATGTCTTTAGGAACAATCAGTGCTATTTAAACATAAAATAAAATTGGTTAGACATAGATTTTGTTACTAAAATATTATAACTCTGAGCAGTCCTAACTTATTAATAAATAAAGCTTTTGAGAGATACAGAATATGTAATAGAGCTGTTTGAATGAATCGAAGTATATAATGGTAGAATAAAAAAAAAATGGAGACTAGTTAAATTTATCTATGAATGCAAATATAGGACATGTAAAATACAATAAGTCTGGAAGGGGTAGTAGTGTGTTTGAGGAGAGAGGAGGTAAGGAACTGTCTCTGAGGAAAGAATTGATACAAATTAGTCAAGTATGTATTACTATTTGCATTCTATCCACAATGAAACTTTGTTTTCAGATTTTTCGGTGAGTCTTTGTTTGACCTTCGGTAATGGTGTCAAACATCCAAGAATCTTGAAGGTTGATGATAAATGCCCATTTGTCATAAACTAACATCAAAAATCAGTCAGCATCCACAGATTCTGGACCGTACAACCTTAGTAGAAAAGAAAAGATTAATATTGAACTGAATGCGTTGTTGTTAGTAATTGGTCCTCCATGACCTGAGTGAACTACAGTTACCAGAAACAGAGAGAGCAAAAGAAGGTAATGAAGCACTAGAGAATTCAACCCTCGTTCGGCTTCACCATATTGTAGGTTTTTTAAAATAACCTTTGTAGCAAATTTAATTTGTGTTTATTCTTTTTTTTTTTTTTTCGGTTTTTTTTTTTTTGGGACAGAGAGAGATGCAGAGCATGAACGGGGAGGGTGCGAGAGAGAGGGAGAACAGAATTGAACAGGCCCAGGCTCTGGAGCCATCAGCCCAGGTTGACGCTGCCCGAACTCCCGACCGCGAGATTGTGACTCCCGCTGAAGTCGGACGCTTAACCGACTGCGCCACCCAGGCGCCCCATTGTGTTTATTCTTTTTAGGTAACCTACAACCAGAGTATTTTTAGCAATACATTTGCATTCTTCCTTTGACTAAAGCAACATACAGATAGCAAAGAGACATGGAGAAATTAATTTCTTTTAGGCTAGCATTTAGTGTACACTGGAGAATGGGTAGCAGGATTATATTTAGAACTTTCGGACTAGTTGGAAAAACTAGGTACGGATCTAAAGATTGACTACTCAAAACATAGTTTCTTAGCTTTATTTTTATAGCTCTAAATTCACAAGTATCGGTCATACTATAATCACTGTAACAAAAAAAAGCACCTTCCCAAACAAAATGTTAAAATACTTCCTATATTTTCTATGATTTTATTTTAGTGTTGACTTTCTCAATTGAATCACTGAGAATTTATCACATAGTATCATCTTCTCAGCTATGTACACATAGTCTGTCGCCTTGTTTTATTAATTTTAATGAATAAATAGTTCACAAGGAATATTGGTTTTAAAGAGTGCTGTATTATTTAAAAATAATATATGGAAAACCAATTTTTTTTAAATAGTATCTTTAAAATTTTTTTTTAAATATTTTTATTTATTTTTGAGAGAGAGAGCATGAGCAGGGGAGGGGCAGAGAGAGAGGGAGACACAGAATCTGAAGCAGGTTCCAGGCCCTGAGCTGTCAGCACAGAGCCTGATGCGGGCGGGGCTCGACCTCACAGACTGAGATCATGACCTGAGCCGAAGTCGGACGCTCAACCGACTGAGCCACCCAGTCTCCTCTTGGAAAACCAATTTTAATTCTACTAAGATACTCAGTCTATTGATTAATGACATTTAATGTGTGTTCTACTTTATGTACCAGTGCCCCTTTTCAGTCATTTGATCAGGTCTGTACTAATAAATTGTACAATATTTTTTTCACCTCTGTAGTTTTATATTCTTTTCTTTCTTGATTTCTAAAATTAACATGTATTCTCAAAAGATTTTGAGCTCTTTCCTAGAGTAGTGAGTATAGGCTATAAATCCAAAGTTATTTAATATACAAGTGACTTGTTTGCTGTTACTTCTTCATGAGCTTGGTAGATCCCAGAGGCAGGACTTTCAAAACAAAACACCTACACAGGCTTCTGTAACACATAAAAGGATATGAAATAGAAAAATTACAAAATAAATACAAGCAGCTTAAACCAGTTCATATAGATCATTTCTTACTTGATGCCTTTTTATAAAGTTTTGAACAGAGTTCTCCAGGGACTGAAGATTGTGTGTTTATTCATTTAATACAGATTTAGTCTGTGCTGGGTCCTAATAATTTTATATCCTGAGTATTTCTGGAACCATTCTGTTGATTTGGATGTGCATCATCTTTATTTTATATTACTGCCTTCTAATTCATCTCCCATCTTTTATTACTATGCCATTCAAATTCATCCTTCCCCACAGTATTTAGAGTGATTTGTCTCAAATGCAAAGAGGACCATGAGCTACTGTTGAAAACATATTTATGTCCAGGCATCTTAAAATTATATATAAGGCTCTCATAATCTAGACTTCTGCCTAACTCTCCATCTTTACACCTTTCTACTGTCTGCTTTTTTCTCTGGCATTCTGAACTGCTGGTGATGTCTTCCTCTTTGATCCCTGTATTTTGGACAAATAGTTACCCTGGCATGTGCTTCTCTCCCTGTCTTGCTAAGGCCTTGCATGCTCTCCCCTTTTTCTGCCTTCTAACACCTTTGAATCTTGCTAACCTCAATGTTGGAGTCTTAGCTCAGTCATTCTCTCTTGAAAAGCCATTCCTGACACCTTTTATCTACATGTTTCTCTAAACCTAGGTGCTTAGTACTTAGTGGGAACTCCGTAAGTAATTACTGCATAAAATAAATAAAGGCTGTTGACACAAAGATGATTTAAGAGATTATCCCATACAGTCCAGGAGCAAAAGTAGAAGATACATAAAGAAATAATTTACAGTTCAGGTGGTGAAGATACACTAGAAAAATCTATAAAGTACTAAGGTAGCCCCAGAGAAAGAGACACCTATTTATCTGGGGAAAGATAGCCATTAACAAGGATGACTCTACATAGCAAGCAGTCTGAGTCCTAAAAGATGGGAAGAAAATTGTCAAATAGTGGAGGAAAACGTTTCAGGAATGTTTACTTATCAGGAACATATACCTATAGAAAGGGTATACACTGATAAAAGCATAAAAAGTAATAGTAATTTTGGAAACCATGAATAATGTTGTAGTTGAATCTTAGTGTGTTATTAAAGAGGTACTGTTACAAGTGTGTTGTGACTTTATATGTTTCTACTGTTTTTTAAAATTTTTGTTTTGTTTCTGATTGTTTTGTTCATTGATGTTAGGTGGATGGATTTGTGAATGAATCTTTGAGATGTTTGTATGCATTTAAGCTGGTGACATCTAGTATTTCCCAAATGGTTTGTTGAAGTTTTAGATAATTATAAGTATTTCTTAAAGAAGTAAATATTCAGGGGCCACCTGGGTGGCTCAGTCGGTTAAGTGACCGATTTCAGCTCAGGTCATGATCTCTTGGTTTGTGAGTGCAAGCCCCACATCGGGATCTGTGCTGACAGCTCAGAGCCTGGAGCCCATTTCGGATTCTGTGTCTCCCTCTTTCTCTGCCCCTCCCCTGCTCATGCTCTGTCTCTCTTTCCTTCAAAAATAAATAAACATTAGAAAAAAATTAAAAAAAAAAGAAGTAAATATTCAGGTAAAGATTAATTTAAGCTTTCAATTGATAAAATGTTATTTTCTATTTTTATGAAGGTTATAGCTTTTATCTAACCATTCTGAGTAATCTATTTTAACTAAATATATGTATTTGTCAGCAGACCTAGACTTAGAATTAACATCAGTGGAAGAGCGAGAAAGGCTTGATGGAAGTGAAAAAAACCACCCACAGGTATGTAAAACGTTAAATTTCCGATTTTATATTGTTTTCCTTGCTTGGATAATGTGATACAGTTCAAGTGAAATTATCTTTTGAATGAGCATTTGAAGTTGATTATAACTTAGTATTTAGTTTTTATAAAATTTTATAAGTTACAAAACTTAAAATATTGTTAGAATTTATAGTAACTTATAGCTAAACTTTATCCTTGGAATTGAGGCAAAAAAAAAAATTCCTGAATTTTGTTTGCTTCTTCCATTATTGTAACTTCCTTACATGATAAAGAACGTAACATCAAATATTGAATCATATGTTTAAGCAGTTGAAATTATGAGCAATATAACAATGATGACCACTGACTTAGATTCTATGTAGAAGGAGTAATTATTTTCAGTGGTTCAAAATGTGCAGTTTCATAATGCCAGTCACTAATGCCAAGATTAAAGATGTATATTCCAACTTTGGTCTCTTTGTAGTTGACTTCGGAGAATGGGGTCATACAATGAACACAACTGCCTATTGTAGAATCACACCCTATAGGATGGGTTATACACAATAGGTTTTTAAGTTATTTCATTTCAGCATAGGAGCTCAGTAAGTATTATTAACAGTTTTCTTATCCACTCTCAGTGGACATTACAATATATCAGAGCTGGGTACAAGTAGATAATCTGTATTGATGTACACCACCATTATAGTATACAATTTGAATTTTCTTTCTCATTGATATTAATTGATTTTGGCTGCTAATAATTTTAAGTTTGCCTATTCTCTAGTTATTAGTCTTTAAAAAAATACTCAAATGCACTTTAGGGCTCATTATTTAAGGGATGGTAAGGTAAAATGTTTTTAAAGTTTGCAACATTAAAAGTCATCTAATTTATTTTTTGGTAGATTTAACATGTAATGAATTGTTTAGTTCAAAAAACTGACAAAATTAAGTTTATGAGTTCATGTTTTTCTTCTGTCTTAGGCTAAGGCAAGTTATTTTTCACTTCTTACAGGAAGTTACAATCCAGTGATTTGGGAACAGCTAAACATAGATTAAAAAATTTAACAGTTAAATTTTGATTATTTTCTAATTTTTCTTTGTCCATACTTGATTAAGGATAAGGTTATTTTACAAACATGTATCCCGGCAGAAAAGACATCTGAAAATCAAAACAAGGAAGTTAAGTGTCCGTTTTTGCATCTGCAAAAAATGACTCAAGAACCAGAAATGAATAAGGAATGTGATAGAGAGCATGATATATCTGTATATTCAGGACGTGCTTCTATGCAAAACTTGGAGGAAATGTGGATCAAACAAGGCAAATTAGAGTGGAAAAATAGCTAAAAACTCATTACCAGTGAGTTAAAGCAGAAGTTTGGTGAAATTTGTTAACAGTACAGAATTCCTACTTATCTTGAAGAAGAACCACCACATGGTCACTCTAAAGAAGGAGCCAACTTAAAGGAAATACCTTCTAATTGGACAAATAATGTTCCTCAAAAAAAATAAAAATAGATCTACCCTATAACCCAGCAATAGCACTGCTAGGAATTTACTTGATTGTGAGGAAGAAGATGCATTTGGAGTGTCTGTGTCAATAGTATTTCAGGCATTTCCTGAACAAAAAGAGCCTAGTCTTGAAAATGTCATTCTCTCTCATTCATACTCTGGGTCCCCAGAATATGCTTGCCAGTCATCTTCTACGCTTTCTTTAAATGAAAGTAAATCATCAGGGAAATACAAATCAAAACCACACTGAGATATCACCTCACGCCAGTCAGAGTGGCTAAAATGAACAAATCAGGAGACTATAGATGCTGGGGAGGATGTGGAGAAACAAGAACCCTCTTGCACTGTTGGGAATGCAAACTGGTGCAGCCACTCTGGAAAACAGTGTGGAGGTTCCTCAAAAATTGCATACACTACCTCATGACCCAGCAATAGCACTGCTAGGAATTTACCCAAGGGATATGGGAGTGCTGATGCGTAGGGGCACGTGTACCCCAGTGTTTATAGCAGCACTTTCAACAATCGCCAAATTTATGGCAAGAGTCTAAATGCCCATCACCCGACGAATGGATAAAGAAATTGTGCTTTATATACACAATGGAATACTACTTGGCAATGAGAAAGAATGAAATATGGCCTTTTGTAGCAACGTGGATGAACTGGAGAGTGTTATGCTAAGTGAAATAAGTCATACAGAGAAAGACAGATACCATATGTTTTCACACTTCTGTGGATCCTGAGAAACTTAACAGAAACCCATGGGGGAGGGGAAGGAAAAAAAAAAACATCTTAGGGAGAGAGCCAAACCATAAGAGACTCTTACAAACTGAGAATACACTGAGGGTTGATGGGGGGTGGGAGGGAGGGGAGGGTGGGTGATGGGCATTGAGGAGGGCACCTGTTGGGATGAGCACTGGGCGTGGTATGAAAACCAATTTGACAATAAATTTCATATTAAAAAAAAGAAAGTAAATCAGACTATGAAGATGAGAACAAACCAGACATTGAGCATCTTTTTAACAACAATGAGAATTTTTATAATGATATAGAAAATAAAAAAGCAAGGAACCCACTAGTTACATTTAAAGTGAAAGAAGGCCAAGAGTTTGACTTGCAAGTGGCAAAAAATACGGACCAAAATACCACCGACTGTAAATTAGACATTGGACATATACCTCAGTCTAGTGATTCAGAGAGCCTTTTTGGTTTGTGGCTTGCCTGCTCCGATGTGATAAAACATGTGATTCAGACAAAAAGGCATGGTATTTCTGCTGTCACAAACACAAGAAAACAAAACCAATACAAGACTTTTTCCAGAAGCCATTATATGCAGATAATGACAGTACTCATAACTATAAAAGTGTTAAGTCTGAATTAGAAATTGTGAGTTCTTCACCATCTAGTTTTCCAGCATCTAAAGTATATTTAAGTGAAGAATTACATCAAGATATGCAAAGGTTTAAGAATGAGATAGGCATGTCACAAGTAGAGTTCCTGGTTTTGGAAAAAGAGAAAGTTCAACTTCCAAAAGAGATAGAGGTCCCCCTTGCTGTTACTCTTGTTTTTTCATTTAGCAATTATCGATCCATTCTGATTTTCCACTTAAGAGAAAAGGAGTTTGTATAAAATGGAATTGTCTAAATAAGTAATTGTGTCTGGAAATAGATTATTTCTGCTATCTAACAAATAGGAGTTCAGGAAAACATTATGATTTGTTTTCCTTAAAGTTTCTGTGTCAGTCTTCCAAGTAGCATATGAACTGGGAAACTAATTAGCTATATAAGTACCATGTGACCTCATGAACCAGAATAATCATAAAGACACTGCTTAAAAAACATAATCTCCAGGTTTTTTTTTAATCTATTGGCTTAAATATAAATTGTATTTCCATAAACAATAAAAGGGGAAGGAAGGAATAACTAAGAGAAGGAATATAAACAAATGTTCCCAGCCAGAATTGCTTCAGTATGTGTCAGTAGACCCTGGGTCTAGGGTTCTTTCTTGTCTAGCAAGACAGCGGGATGCAGGATTAAAATGGGAGAGATGGCTAATGTCCGGAGAACACAAGAGCCCCAATTAAGGGTCCTTGCTCTGTTGTTATTAGGATCAGAAGGCTTCCAAACATGGTGATTGACGTGCACAAAGAGATAGTAAATCTGTGAACATGAGCTCATGGGCATGAGGGAAAGGGGGTTTGAAGATATAGGGTGTTAGGGGTTTGGGTCAATATAAAACAAAATCCTGGTGCCTGGCAGATGGTTGTTAACAGCCCACCTGAGCACCTTATCTGTTTATCTTAGCTAGTCTAGGGGATAAGACAGATGCTACTTCAGGATCCACAAGGCACCTTTCTTTTGCTAATTAGCTCCCCTCTGGGCATCTTTACCCTGCAACCTGTAGCCTATAGCCCTATTTACCTGTTTACCTAATTTGGTCCTTCCTTCCTGTGAAAGCAGCTTTCTGCTATAATACTAAATTGGGGGGCATTTTTGCCCTGAATACCTAATTTTGCTTACCTCATACACCTTTGTATGGGGGCCTTTGCCCTCCTCTCTATTCTGGGGCCCTTTGCCCCACTTCTCTCATCTTATTTGCCTAATCTTGTTTACCCAAACTTGGGTGTGAGCATCCTATGGCTTTGTAATTCTTTATGTCTTGTTAACCCATCAGTGCAGGCTCAGGGAATTCCTAAGCTTACTCCCCACAAATACATGCAGTCTTCTCTGCTTTACTCACAACCTTGGAACTTAGATTTCAACATGACCACTTTGAGATAGTTTTAATAACAAATATTTGTATTATCACCACTTTTTTTCACACTTTTTAAATCATCATTCTCAGATGTTTCTGTTGAGTCAGACTTTGACTTTATGTTTAATAAAGTATGACACATTTTGACATGTATGATTTTTACCATGTAGGTAGCATAAGCCTTCAGCAAACCTTCGGTATTTAACTCCAAGGGAGAAAACTGAGTTTTGAGATATGTGGAGTTTAGAAATAGACAAAATCTAGAGATATCCTTCTTTAAAAGAAAAAGTAGCTAATGTCCTCGTCCCCTATGAAGGTATTAATTTACTGTGCCAAAGTCATACTTGTAAGGTATTCTATTAATTTAATGAATTTGTGGTCATTTATCTGATTCAGCATTAAAGAATAGTATCATCTCTTTTGGTGCCATAAAATGCTAGGTAATGCCACTTCAGGAACTTTGGACAAATTTAACCTTTTTTAGTTTTACTCGAATTATCAGTAGAAAATGGGTTTAAAGTTGATAATTACTTTTATACCCTCTCCCTATAAAATTTTATGGTTGTTGAATGTGAAATTCAGGGAGCATTACTAATTTCCCAGAATTCCAGCCTAACATCCTTTTCACTCTGTTCCTTTTGTGTTGTGGCAAACCTTCCTTTGTAAATTTTAGGGAACACTGTTACTTTTTTTGAGAACCTTGGGATCCAAATTAAAAAGAATTATAAAAGGCAGTCAGGGAAAGAATAGCTTCGTGCAGAAAGAGGAAAGCTTCCTGTTTTTGTTACTGGAGCACCTCAATGTCACATGTTTTAAATCTGGCTGTTGTGTAAAACCCAGGTGGTAAGGATAGGAAAGGACAAATTTTGTCTTTGTCTTTTTATTTCTTTGTATTTCTTGGTCAGATGGGGTGGGGGTGGGGTGGGGAATTTTCGGTAGCAAAGTGTGGATATGAATAAGAGTACAAAATTAAGAAAGCCCTTTTAGAAATTTTGGAAAATTCTGCTTTTTTTATTCAAACAGAAATGAAGCCGACTTTATAAAAATTATAATTACATGTAAATGATAAACTAAACACAAAATGTTTATCAATTAAAATTATGACAAACTGTCAACTGATAAAATTAATGAAAAAACTTCTTTTTATTGACTAAAGTAACAATTACCTTTAGTATCAAGTTCCATTAAAGGTTGAAGAAAAAAAGCACAGAAGTAGTGACATGGAAGTATCAGAAAACATACATGATGCTGCAGCTGCTGGATTAATTCAACAAAGAAAGAATGGAAAAACTGATAACCATCAATTTCCTGTTACAGAAAATAAAGATTCTGATAGGTAAGCCATAGCAATGTTTAAATAGTAGGTAATTGTTATTTTCCTATGCAACAAACTTTTATAGTTTGAGCTGATGTTCATGATGAACAAGTTTCGTATTTTTCATGGAGATATTTCATCCTATGTGGTAATCAGAAAAATGTAAATAATGAGATACCATTTTTTGCAGTCATAGTGATAAATATTTTATTAAAAAATAATCGGGGCGCCTGGGTGGCGCAGTCGGTTAAGCGTCCGACTTCAGCCAGGTCACGATCTCGCGGTCTGTGAGTTTGAGCCCCGCGTCAGGCTCTGGGCTGATGGCTCAGAGCCTGGAGCCTGTTTCCGATTCTGTGTCTCCCTCTCTCTCTGCCCCTCCCCCGTTCATGCTCTGTCTCTCTCTGTCCCAAAAATAAATAAACGTTGAAAAAAAAAAAAAATTAAAAAAAAAAATAATCAAAGTGGGGCGCCTGGGTGGCTCAGTCAGTTAAGTGTCCGACTTCAGCTCAGGTCATGATCTCACAGTCTGTGAGTTCGAGCCCTGCGTTGGGCTCTGTGCTGACAGCTCAGAGCCTGGAGCCTGCTGTGGATTCTGTGTCTCCCTCTCTCTCTGCCCCTCCCCTGCTCATGCTCTGTCTCTCTCTGTCTCAAAAATAAATAAAAAACATTTAAAAAAAATAAAATAAAAAAGTTAGGAAATGTGAGGAAAATGACATTCTTATTCACTGTGGCTAGATGAAGTTGGTAAATCCTTTCTGAAGGGTCATTTAGCAGTGTGTTTCAAAATTTCAGATATGTCGTTGCACCTGGGCAGCTTAGTTGGTTAAGGGTCCAACTTCGGCTCAGGTTGTGATCTCGCACTTCATGAGTTTGAGCCTTGCGTCAAGCTCTGTGCTGACAGCTCAGAGCCTGGAGCTTGCTTCAGATTATGTGTCTCTCCCTCTCTCTCTGCCACTCCCCTGCTTGTGCTCTGTCTCTGTCACTGTCAAAAATAAATGATAAAACATGAAAAAAATTTTCAGATAGGTCATCCCGTTATTCCAGTGGCTTCATTGCCAGGACTGGATCCTCCAGGAAAACAAGACTTCTATAAACACACACACACACTGTAAGGACATTTATTATGTATATAAAATAGGATAGATATTTTAAGGTTACTTACATAAATATGTGTATATGTTAAGGATATTTATTATAGCATTCCCATATCAAAAAATTGAAGATAGCCTAAATGTTTATTTACTTATTTTGAGAGAGAGACAGAGAATGTGTGCATTGGGGAGGGGCAGAGACAGAGGGAGAGCGAGAATCATAAGCAGACAGCATGGTAACAGTGCAGAGGCTAACACAGGGCTCGATCTCACGACCACAAGATCATGACCTGAGCCAATATCAATAGTTGGATGCTCACCGGACTGAACCACCTAGGAGCCCCAGAGACAGGCTAAATATCCATTAATAAGGAAGTAAATTTTCACTTCTATAAAATAATGGAGTATGTGACCATTTTAAAAAATGAAATTTGGTTTACAGTGTACTGATGGTTTAACAAAGTATATTTAAAGCATTTGGTTTGATGTCATGTTTTATGCACATTTTGTTAGAATACTTTTAATATCTACTGAATTGCAAAAGGAAGTTCCCTGCTCCACTGGCAGTCTACTTCATTACCAGCAAAATTGCTAGTTATTAGATTTTTGGTTTTGTTTCCCAGTGCATGAGTGCTCAAATGTTGGACCCTCAACTTAATCTGAATATTGCCAAGAGGTTTCACATGGCAACTTGTCTCATATTCTACATAAACATTTGATGACCCCTGTGCTATAAACAAAAATGCTGATAATGCAATGAATCGTTTTTATAAAGGTACCTTGCTTGGATGCCATTATCCTTCCTTTTTAAAGAGAACATATTTCAACATGCACCACACCAAATTTTTCAACAGTGCCTTCATGTTATGCAATTTATGACAATTCAGTTTACAAAGTAGGAATATTTTCTGCATTCTCACCCCCTTTTAGTTCTGTGTATAAAATTTTAATATGCTAATTACTTTGGATAGTATAAAATATCCTAGAGTTAGGTGACTTTTTAAAAATGTTTATTTTGAGAGAGAGAGAGCATGCTCACATGAGTGGGGGAGGGGCAGAGAGAGAGGGAGAGAGAGAATCCCAAGGAGGCTCCATGCTGTCAGTGCAGAGCTCGATGCAGTGCTCCATCTCATGACCCTAGAGATCATGACCTGAGCCGACATCAAGAGTTGGATACTTATGGACTGGGCCACCCAGGTGCCCTTAGAGGTCAATAATTTTTATCAAGCATGAAATACTGCCCTTGAAATTTAGTTTTTCTGTGGTCTTTCTAAGCATGAGAGAAATGGTAATCAGCTTATATAATATTATATATCTAGAAAATTTTAAGGAGTCTTCTCATTGTATAATTTCGTGAGTTATTTAGTACCTTGGTCTGGCATTAAAAAAAAAAAAAAACTAGTGTTACATATATGCAATTTTTAAGACTTCAAAATATTACAAAAATATTACATAATCCTTATGTAACAATTGAAAACTACAGCAATAATAGAAAATTAGATCAATGATGATCATTCCACTTAGCTATAAATCCTTAAAGAGCCTTCTTCACTCTTTGATCCTGATTTCCCTCCCATCCACTCTTGAATTCATTGTAGCAATTTTCCCTTTCCAATCTTCACTACTCCAGAATTGTTTTTTCAAGGTTACCACTGATTTTCACTTTAATGAGTCTGAACATAATTTCATACATCTCATTTTATTTAACCTTTCAGCAATATTTGACCCAGTGGAAAACTCTCTCCTCCAAAATTCTGTCTCCATGTTGCTTTTAGGATATCACTCACTCACCTGATTTTCCCGCTGCCTTTCTAGTCTGTACACCTCAGCCTGATTTACTTGTTTCTTCTCGTCCACCACCTTTTAACCCATTGATGTCTTCCAGGAATTTGCCTTTGATTTTCCTTCTCTTGACTTTTACTATCTTGTATATTCTAATGATCCTCAAGTTTATATCTTCAGCCCGGATCTCTCTCCATAATTCCAGACCCACATATCAAACTGCCTACTTGATATCTCTTTCTGGATAGCTATTGCAAACTTAACATGTCCAAAATTGAACTACTGATATTCTTTCTTAATATTTGCCTTTCATGTCTTTCCTAATTGAGTTAATAACAGTTCCATGAGTTGCTCTGCTAGAAAACTTGGTATCATCTTTGAGTCCTGTCTTTTTTTTTTTTTTTCTTTTTCTTTGTCTTTTTCTTTGTCTTTTTCTTTCTCTTTTTCATACACATCACATCTAATCTGTCAGCAAATCTTGTCGGGTCTTCCTTCAAATATATCCAGAATCCAAACATACCTTCCATGACCAAGAGACTGTCATCTGTTGTTTATATTGGTGTAATAGGTAACTAATTGGTCTTCTTGTTTGTTTGTTTCTTCTTTTGTTTTTACTCTTTCCTTTAATTCTGAACACATTGGATCTATTAAAATGTAAGTCAGATTGTGTCCTTCCTCTGCTCAAAACCTAATTGCCTCCCATTTCACTCAGAGTACATGCCAAAACTCTTCCTAATACCGACAAGTCCTATATAGGATCTTTTCTTCTCAGGTGTCTCCTTCTGTCTGATTTGAACTATTTTCTACCCCTTTCATTCTGTCCAGCCATACTGAATTTCTCACTACTCTTTAAGTACTTCGGACATACTTCTGTACTTGCTGTTGACTCTGGAATGCTTTCCCTCTGATACCTCATGGCTTGCTTTTTCCCTTTTTGTTTGTTTTTTCTTTCATTTTTTTGCTTAAATGTCACTTTCTCAGCAAGGCCTTTCTTGGCCATCCTGACTAGTATTTCAACTACCTTTTTCCTATAACACATCAAAATTTGATTTCTCTGCTTTAGTTTTTCTCCTCTAATACTGTATATTTTGCCTATGTAGTTTATTGTTATTGTATGTTTACTTCACTCATGAGTAGGATTGTTATCTGTTCGTTGCCATGTCCTCAGTACCTAGAAAATGTTCTAGTGTATATAGTGCTTATTCAATAATGTTTATTGAGTGAACGGAGTTTAACCTGTGTATATTGTGTTTAACATAATACTAATTCTCACTTTTACAAAGTTTGGCGTGGGTTCATTCTGACAATTAAACCTGCCAGTTATATACATTTTTTGGATTTTGGGGGGCCCAATATTGTGTTTACTTGCTACTTTTCTTTTAGTTATATTTATGTTAGTTTTAATTATGGTAAAATGTATCAAAGGAATAGCAAACTTCCTTTATATTTATTAAGGAAACTAAAACATGGTGCCAAATTATTATAGGACTTTAAAAATTCTTGCCAAGGGATTATGAGCCCTCAATACCTGAAATAAAAAGATGAAGTTGGAATTTATCACTTACAAATAAGAGCGAGCTATGCTGGTTAGGTATAGTCTTTTCTAACAGAGCAGTCTGCTATTCTTATACAGGGTTTGGGGAAGAGTGGAGTTTAAGGATTGGGGGACTTTCAGAGAATTAAATGGTTTGTCATCATCTGAAGTACCATGGTTATTTGGGTGAGACTGTTGTGGATTGGTTGGCATGCTGAGGCATATGTGTTAGAGTGATTTTGTCCTTTATTGGCTGTCTTTCAGAAGGAAGGGGCTGAAATGGATTGGTTGGTGAGTAAGGCTGGTGGGCATTGATTAACACATTTAAAACTGATTCTGGTGGCTTCTTGTTACCATGGCTACATGTTAGGGTTTTGTTTTTGTTTTTGTTTTCTGTTTTTGTGTTTCTAAGTTTGAGGTGGCTTTCACCAGATGTTTTCTATTTAAAAGCTGCTTCTATTCACTGTGTTCAAAATGAAAGCTATTTCAAATTCTATAATTACAGATTCATTTTTTGAAGTTTGGGTCAAGAGGAATTGTTTGATAATTGCTTTCAGAAAGATTCTTCTTTTCTTGGATGTTATTTCAACTAGAAAAGTTATCTGTACAACAGTTTTTTGAGAAAACAATTGCTAGTTTTTGTTTTTGGTGCTCTTAAGGGCTCATGTTTAAGTCCTAAATAATCTGTGGGAAGTTTCATTGTTTTTGGAAATGTATGTAGCTGCATGGTAATAATATTCTCTTGCATGCATTTAGTCCATGAAAAAGTAATTATAATTTTCTTTTTGGTGAATCCCCTAGTTTTTTCTATCAGGATTAGATACGAGGCTAAGAGTATCCAAATCATTTGTTTTTAATTTTTTTTTTTAATGTTTATTCATTTTTGGAGAGACAAAGTGAGAGTGGGGGACGGGCAGAGAGTGAGGGAGACAAAGATTCGGAAGTAGGTTCCAGGCTCTGGGCTGTCAGTACAGAGCCTGATGTGGGACTGGAACCCACAAACCATTAGATCACAAACTGAGCCGAAGTCATACACTTAACAGACTGAGCCATCCAGGCGCCACAAACCATTTTTTTTTTCCCCAAACAAAAGCATAGCTAATCAGATTGTTGCTATTTTTGAGTGATATATATGACATATGAGTACTTCAGAATTTTTGAAGTTTTTCTAGATTTACTGACATAATTAACATACAACTGTGTAACTATAAGGTATACCTCTATTAATTTGATACACTTTTATATTGTAAAATGATTACCACAATAGTGTTAATACTTCCATGACCTCACATAATTATCATTTCTTGTTTGTGATGATCTACTCTCGTAGCAACTTTCAAATATATAATACAGTATAGTTTTGTTTTTTTTTCAACGTTTATTTATTTATTTTTTTGGGGGGGACAGGAGAGACAGAGCATGAACGGGGGAGGGGCAGAGAGAGAGGGAGACACAGAATCGGAAACAGGCTCCAGGCTCTGAGCCATCAGCCCAGAGCCTGACGCGGGGCTCGAACGCACGGACCGCGAGATCGTGACCTGGCTGAAGTCGGACGCTTAACCGACTGCGCCACCCAGGCGCCCCTATAATACAGTATTGTTAACTGTAATCACCATCCTGCACATTAAATCCCCAGAATTTATTAATCTTGTAACAGGCAGTTTGCACCCTTTGACCAATATCTACCCATTTCTCATAGCCTCCTAACCCTGGCAACCACCAGTCTGTTCTGTTTCTGTGAATTTTTTTTTTTTTTACGATTCCACATATAAGTCAGATCATACAGTATTTATCTACCTGTTTCTGATTTATTTTCACTGAGCATAATGCCCTCAAGTTTCACTCATGTTGTCACAAATGGTAGGATTTCCTTCTTGTTTGTGGCTGAAAATATTCCATTGTAAATATATACCATATTTTTTAATCCATTGATCCATTGATGGATGCTTAGGTTGTTTGACTATTGAAAATAATGCTGCAATAAACATAGGGCTGTACATATCTCTTCGAGGTAATGATTTCATGTCTTTAAGATATATACCCAGAAATGGAATTATTGGATCATATGGAGGTTCTATTTTTAGTTTTTTGAGGAACCACCATACTGTTTTACATAGTGGCTGTACCAATTTACAGTCCTACAGCAGTACAAGGAATTCCTTTCCCGTACATCATTGCCAGTGATATCTCTTGTCTTTTTGGCAATAGCCATTTTAATAGGTCAAAGTGATATCTATATACTGCAGTTTTGATTTGCATTTCCATGGTGAATAGTGATATCGAGCACCTTCTTATGTACCGCTGGCCATTTGAATATGTTCTGAGGAGAGATGTCTATTAAGGTGCCTTGCCCGGTTTTTAATTATATTTGTTTTTTGCTATTGAATTGTATGAATTCCTTACACATTTTAGATATTGATGTTTTTCATATTTGTAGTTTGCAAATGTTTTCGTCCTTTCCATAGGTTGCCTTTCCGTCATGTTGCTTGTTTCTTTTGCTGGGCAGAAACATTGTTTATTGCACTGTTTTTGCTTTTATTGCTTGTACTTTGGATGTCATATCCTAAATCATATGTAAGATCAATGTCAAGGAGCTTTTATCCTGTTTTCTTCTAGGAGTTTTATGATTGAAGGTTTTACATAGAAGTCTTTATTTGGGTTTGTATTAATTTTTGTGAGTGGTGTAAGGTAGCAGTACAGTTTTATTCTTTTGGATGTTAATATAGTTTTCTCAGCATCATTTATTGAAGAGATTATCCTTTCTCTTCTGAGTATTCTTGGGTCTCTTAACAAATTTTAGTTGACTTTATGCATGGGTTTATTTCTGGGTTCTTGATTCTGTTTCGTTCATCTTTGTGTTTGTTTTTATGCAAGTTCATATGGTTTTTAGTACCATAACTTTGTAATAGTTTGACACCAGGAAGTGTGATGCTTCCAGCTTTGTTCTTCTTTCTTAGGATTGCTTTGGCTATTTGGGGTCTTTTTTGTTCCTTACAAATGTGAGGAATGTTTTTATTTCTGTGAAGAAGGTCATTGGAATTTTGACAAGGATTGCATTGAATCTGTAGGTGGTTTCAGGTAATGTGGATATTTAACAATGCTGATTTTTCTAATCCCTAAACAATGGGGTATATTTCCATTTGCTTGTGTCTCTGCTGTTCTTTTATCAAAGTCTTGTAATTTTTACTATATTTTTCAGAAAGTACCCACTTTATTGAGAGTTATTATCATGAAAAGATGTTGAATTTTGTCAAATGCTTTTTCCTTACCTATTGTGATGATCATATGATTTTTTTATTCTGTTAATGTGGTATATATCAAATATATTTATTTGATTTCTGAAGGATAGTTTTGCTGAGTAAAGTATTCTTGATTGGTAGTCTTTTTCTCTTAGCACTTTGAACATACAATCCCACTCTCTCCTGGCCTGTAAGGTTTCTGTTGAGAAATTGCTAATAGCCTTATGAGGGTTCACTTGTAATCAGATAGTCTTTCCTCTCTCTTTTTCATTCTTTTACTTTGTTCTCTGCTGATTGCATTATTTGAAAGTTCCTGTCTTTAAATTCACAGATTTTTTTTTTTGCTTGATCCATTTTCCTGTCAGTGATCACTCTTGCTTTTTTCATCTCATTCATTATACTCTTCAGCTCCAGGATTTTTGTTTAGTTATTTTTTACTATTTCCTGCTCTTTGTTAAACATCTCATTTTATTCATATAGTATTTTTCTGATTTTACTGAATTGGCTTTTTGTGTTTTCTTGTAACTCATTTTCCTTAAAATTGCTATTTTGAATTCTCTTTTGAATAAATAACATCTCCATGTGTTTCAGATTGATTACTGGAAGATTACTGTGATCCTTTGGTGGTATCATATTTCCTTGATATTTTATATTCTTTGCAATTTTGCATTGCTGTCTTTGCATTTGAAGTAGCAGTCACCTCCTCCAGTCTTTAATGACTACCTCTTCAGTATGTCCAAACCTGATTTTTTTGCTCCAGTGGTGTGCTGGAAATTCTCTGCAGGACACCTCGTTTTCCAAAAAGGCTCTCTCATCTGCGGGTGATTATCTTAGTGTTTTCTAGGGAGGGACTCCCAGATGTGGCTGAGAGGGAGGGACTGGAGGCAGTTTATGGGCTATTGCTAGGTCCACAGATAGACTATAGTATGTATGCCTGTTACCTGATGCACAGGTAGGCAAGACTTTTCCTCAGTCCCTTGGAATATGGTGCTAGGTCCCCACAGCTCCTGCAAAGGCAGTTTTGTCCGTGGGTAGATAGATGCCAGTTTGTTGTAGGTGGGCAGATGCAACAAGGTACATCTCATTCAGCTATGATACTGATATCACTCTGACATATGGGTATTTTAAAAGTAGTTTTTCCCCTAAGATATTTCCCTGATTTCTTCTTTCATGTTATATGGACCTCATACTATTTTAAAACTTTGTTTAAATTAAGCATTTTCAGATTTAAAAGCAAAACCAAAAATATAGCGCAAATCTAATTATTACTCCCATGTCTAAGAATCACTGCCTTTAGGCAGTGAACTCTAACTTTTTAGTGTAACCTTCAAGGTTCTTCAGAATTTCTTTCCTGACTTATCTCTTACTACTTGCTTCCATGTATTTTATGCTTTTTTTCCTCAAGTTCCTAAAAGTTTGTACTTTTCCTTTCAAGGCACCTAGATGCAATCTATGTAATCTTTGTGCTCACATTCTAATCGCTTAAGAAAATGGTTTTTTCCTGTTTCTTTTCCTGGTGACCTCTCCTGTTTATTTTCCCTCTTCAATAAAACCTTTCTGGTCCTCACTCACAGCTTTTCATATGTCAATTCTTATAAATCACATTGTATTATAATTATATATTTGTGTTTGAAGCAACAAATGAGTATTTCCTTGTATATGGTTGGTACTTCATCACTGTTCTGTGAATTAATAAATTAAGTCAGATGGGTAAAATTCAGAACTTTATGAAAATTGTCTTTTTATTCTTTATCAGTAAAATTATTAGAAAACGTTGGCTTTTTATATGGCTTTTTAATGGATTTTTTTAAAAGTAGTGAACCTGGTTTACATATGAAGAAGTTAAAGAAAGGTGAAGATGAAGAAGGGACATCAGAAGAATCTGTGATCACACCAGTGTTGAAGAAGGCCGATTCCCTAACTGGTGGTCTACTACAAATGAATGAGGGCAGCAGTTTAAGTGAAAAGGATCAGCATGAAAGCAGGTAAAGTCTATCAATTCTTTATTTCCCTGTGAAGGAATTTTAGCAGTGGTTACCTTTTGTGAAAATAAAATGCTGTAGTGTAGGTTGGTCCAAGCTAAAGCAAGAAATACTCAACATATCAAATACACTGCTTGAAAAGTTATGATGAGGTTAAGTGACTTTGTCAAGGAGCAGTTTCAGTAGTCACCATGGAAGTATGGAAGGTAAGTGTAAACAGTTCCTTAGAGCATTTTAATTGGGAAAGGTAATAGAGAAATGGATGATAACTGAAAAAGAATGCGAATTGCAAAGGCATTTTCTTTCTCTTTTTAAGATGGGAACTTTTAGAGTATGTATTCTGTTGGAAATGATCAATAGAGATAGACATGGTTAGTTAATTTAAAATTGTTTGTGTTTCCAAACATTAGGAAGTTTGTTGATTGTATTACATTATCTTTTAAAGATTATAGTAATTGTCCTTAGTACTACTATTCATGTAATTTTGTGGAAAAGTTGGTTCTTTCAGAATTGATTCCATGATGGGGTATTCTCATATAATTGAATGTACAGATTTAAAAATATATATGTATGTGTATGTATTATATATATATAATT